AACACGCAGAATTTTTTCTTTTCCCAATTTAAGTGAAAAATATTTTTTTTTTTTTTTTTAAACAAAATTAAGCAAAATTTTAAGCCATATGTAATGCAGAAGAGTTAGAAATACAAATTCATTGATAATACATTATTGTATGAATCGATACTAATTTGCTTCATCAGCTCAATAATTGTTTAGTTTTTGAAATTGAAATTGAAGTTTGATATAAATCTTGAACTATATCACATGCGCAATAAAAAAAACACTGATAAGGATGCATATCACTGTTGTTATCATTTTTTCTATTCCATCATCTTTCATCTTTCATTGATATGCTCGAGCGAATCGTTGAATAAAATCTAAAATTATCTCAAAGATATCATGACCTTATTGATAAAAATGCTTTATTTAATAACAAAAAGATAAATAATAAATTAATCATAATTTCTGAGTTTTTTTGTTCATCCAAAATTTACTCCAAAATATTATTGATTTTATGCCATGAAACTTCTCTTAATAAATAATTTCGTGCATTTATTGTAAAAAAAAAAAAAAAAATTTCTTTCATTGAGATAAATAATTTATGGATTATCAGTTAGTATAAATGACGACAAAATACTAAATAATTACATTTGAAACTTTGCTAACTGTTGGAGTATCACAGATTCTATTTCCAACAAAGTTTGTAAAGCACTTTACTCAAATAATGATTAACCCATAACATTGCCTGAATGATATTTATTCACTTGAAGTGCTTGAAGAGCACTTAACTAACCTACATATTTATTTGTTATGCTAAATTTTAGCTGCTAATTTTGTTCCAGTATTTTAGAGTTGAATTTTTATTGGCAAAAACATAATTTTCGTAATTAATCCTTTTTAGATTCAAAACATTGCGATACTAAATATTTTCTTTAATTTCATTTCAATAATAATAAACCAAAAAATTAATAGCTGAAAAATTTGATTATTTAATTTTTATCAATATACTATTGCTTATTAAAATTTTAACGATAAGATATTCTGAATGCGAAAAAATTTTCAACGAAACTATAATGGGTTGCACGGCAACCGTTTGTATATCTTGCTAATAACATAGGTAAATTTCGTTAAGTTTTCTTCTATTATCTATCAAAAAATAAAAAGTATTTGTTTCTTTGGGCTTCAAAATATGATATGTATGTTATATTATGATAACAATCATATTAAAAGATAAAAAAGAAAATTTAAATAAATAATGATCAGATAAGGTCAATTATAAGATTAATCACTCGAAGAGTAATAGATTTATTAGTAAATTTATATACCATAAGATAAAAAATGATTTGTATGGTACAATTATTTTGCAGATAGTTATTGAAAGAATTGAAAAGAAATATAAAATGAAACGAATCAAATTGTTGTAAATTTTATGCTAAAAAATAATATGAATTATATAATTAAAATCACTGTTGAACTGAGCTATGTGTATGTTTTAAAATTTTAGACTATGCATTGATTTTGATGCTTAAATTTTAGATTATTTTAGATAATTCGGAAATTGTGAAAATTTCAGGCAATGGAAAAATACGAGAAAAAAGATAGCTATAGAATACTAATGATATTATTTGAAACGAAAAAAAAAATGATAAAATTGTACTAAATTAATCGTTTAAAGGCTTACTTCATATTTTATTTTCATTAATTTGTTTAAAATTTTAGTTTTTTTTTTTTTTTTTTTTTATTCCTTTAGTAAAGGTTGCATGATGTAATTCTATGACCCTAAAATTTAAAGGGAGTTGAAAGCAAATAAAAAGGCCAATAATACAATTGGGCTAAGAGTAATAAGTATTATCAGATATTTGTTTGCTAAAATTTTCACCCTTAGGATATACTTTTTTCATTTAGATTGTAGTAAATGTTAAATTTAACTAATTTTAGCTCTACATGTTCTTTAAAAAAATGATTAGAATATTAATGAAAATTCGTTATTACTTCAATTTCTCATTTTTTCTTTATTAGTTGAACTTGTTGTTGTTTTTTTTTTTAATAAAAAAAGTATTATCAAGACTTTTTTAATAATTCTTTTTTTAAAAAAAAAAAAAAAAAAAAATGATTCCTAACTATTCACATTTTATTGGAATTAAACAAATTTTTAAACCAACGAAAAAGGAAAAAAGAATATTTGCTGCTCTTCAATTATATTCAAAATTTATTGTTATATGACTTATTGTCAACAAAAAATAATCACTAAGAATATTTCAATTTTTTATCACTGTACTTTTTTATTATTGTTAAAATTTTCATTAAACTAAGAAATATGGAAGAACAAGATAATACTTATTGCTTTCATTTTGTAGAAAGTTTCGTCTTTGTTAACTGTTAATTATCATTTATTTGTCGAATTTAACATAAATAATTAACAGGAAATATTTTAATTTCCAAAATAAATGTAATTCATGCAATGTTTGAAAGAAATAATTTTATCTATTAAATTGTAACAGATACGATGATGAGATATGTGGGATATACTTAAGATTCATTAAACTTATTTAGTGTCATAATTAGAATGTAAAATGCAAATTCCTAATTAACATATTTCATCAAATTTTTTTTTTAGCAAAACAATAATGCTAACGATGTGTGATGATTTGCATGTAAATGAAATTAATTACAAATACCATAGTGATGAGAATAATATTAGAATCAAAATGCTACAAGTGAGCCATTTAGATCATATGACGTGATTAAGATAAGCATTTTTCTTTTTTCACTATTGCTATAATAATTTTTTAATAAATTTGATGAATTTCGTTCGAAAATTTTCAAATAATCAACTAACTAATGAAATAGTTTTTTAATTTTCACCTCCTTGTTATATATATATATATATATATATATATATATATATATATATATATATATATGTACTTATCGAATAAATTTTATTCTAGAATAATTATGCAGTTACTCTAATGATCAAATAATTATTTGTTTTTTGATCATTTTTGATTCAATATATTTTTAATTGAATGATTTTTTCTGTTACCGGTCTAGTTGTTATCGAAAGTTTTATTTTATAATAGTTCAAGTGATTCTTCTATATCAGTTAATTTATAACTTATTATTTATCCTCGGAAAAAATCATCACACTAAAAAGCTTCAAACGACAATTACAAGAGATCAACCTCAATGAGTAGAAATGGAATTGATTTTAAATTTCATAAAAGGTTCTCATTAGTGACGAGTGAATTCTATTTTATTTCAAATCCTGTTCGCATGGTTTAACAGTAAAAATTGAAAAAACATTTTTCATGATGGAGAAAGTTCATGAAAAATTTTCATGAAAAATTGTTTTACTTTTTAAACCAGTTTTTTTCAATCTCATTTATAATATTTAAGTAAGAACAATTTGTTCCATCAAAATTGATATTTGGAAATTAATTTTGTGATAAGTATGACAAATTCATAACTTCATTTTGCTCACTTCTCTTCTTTCGTTTTTTTTTCCTCAGTTTGATGAGATTTTGTTACTTTGAACTATTTAAATGAAAGGGATTTTTGCATGTTCGTGTCCATTTAGTTATCACATACATTGCTTGTGAGAATTTAATCATCAATCTCTTTGTGAGATTTATTTAAAATCTAGCATCTTCGAATAATGATGCATTTTTCCAAGCAAATTTCTTTTCTTTCATTATGAAATTTAATTGGTTGTATATTTTTCACTATTTTGTGATTCATTAAAATTTCTGGCAAATAATTTTGCGCAATACAAAAAAAAAAAAAAAAAAAAAAATATGGAAAATTAGACAAATTTTGAACAAATTTAACCAAAATAGTGCAAATTTTCATGAAATTTATATAATTTTTTCCTAAGTTTAATAGGATTTTTTCATTTATTTCGGAAAGAAAAGTTTTTTCCGCTTATTTTAAGAGAAAAAAGTGAAGAAAAAAGGCGTGATATATTTTTGTAAATTTAAAACGACGATATATTTTTTATAAGCAGTGAAATGAGTAAGTGCTGCAATTGTTTGTTTTTATTCATTTTTAAGGTAGTGGGAGTAGTAGATAGAAGGTAACTAATTGTTTTTATCTACAATCTTAAGGAATTAGAGAAAATAATCCGGAATGATATTAACCTGATGTTGACGCATTTTCAGTTAAGGATTCATTTGACAGAATTGTATTCTTATAAAAAAGCAGTTCCAAAAAAAAAAAAGAAATTATTCAGGGAAAAGCTGTCTTTTCAATATTTTCCGCTGTTATGATAATCACTTTTGAGTTGACAAGCTTGCTTCTTTTTTTCGTCTCCTCTTATTTATTTATTTTTCCTGAAAATGAAGAGCATAGAGATAAACTTCATAATTTAATGGTTTCTTTTAATAAAATTTATCATTGATATATCTAAGTGGAATATGATTTATATTTCTAGTATTGAATCAAACATATTCTTCAAAGATATCGTTAACAGACATGAAATCATGCAAATATTAAGGATCATTTTGTAGAAAAAATTAATGACAAATCACATATTACCCTTTTAAAAATTTAAATTAATGAAATTTATAGGAAAATTTTCAAGTAGTATAAGACAATCCAACTTGTTTTCTCTTTTATTTTTTCACTTCAAGAAATTTTCAATTATATTACTGATAAAACTTTGAATACATTCTTATGCATCTAAGATAACTCTAACGAATTTTATTTACGACAGTGAACCGTGATTTTCTAGCCTTGTTTTCTTATTACATATTAGCGTTTTTTTTTTTTTTCAACTAATCTAAACCTATTTCATTGCATAAAGTAAATTTAATTATTTTAAAGCACTGATGTATTCTATGTTCCATTCAACTTCCTACTGATTATCAGTTTCAGAAATCTGACTTTAACAGATAAAAGTTATAAGTCTGCAATATACTATTTTCCTCAGTATTTCTTCATGCAACTGTTGGATATTATAATGAGATTATTGGTTTGCAACAAATTGAATTAATGCTAAAAAAAAAAAAAAAAAAAGAATGTTATGAAAAGAAATGAATACTGACAAACAAACAAACGATTCATTACCACATCCGTTAACCAATGGTAGCTCAACAACATTTGCTACCGTAAAAGAATTGGCACAAAATATTAATTATTTGTCGATGGATGATCAATCAATTACCATCAAACAAACAGAAACAGAACGTAAAGGATGGTTATCTAAAAGTCAACGAATAACAATTGAAAATAGTTGGAAGCGAGCTACTAAGGTATCAAACTTTTCATTCTTATTAGCTTATGGAAAAAAAAAAAAAATTAAGCAAAGAAAAGAAAAAAATGTAACCATGTTACTGTTCATTTAAATGAATTTTATCACTCTTTAATTCTTATCTCTAATTCTCATAATTAGATAAAATACTACATCATAAATACATCAATGATAATTACAGACTTATCATCCCTTATCGTCTTTTGAATCTTTAATGTGTTATTATTAATGATTCCGAATAGAATTTTAATTTCATTAATCTAAAATACTATAGTGTGAAATAAAAATTGTCAGTCTTAAATTTATGACAGCTAAACAGTTGTAAGTGAAAAAATTCATTTTGTCAAGCACTCAAAAGTGCAATATGTTCGTAAGAATTAAATTAGATATCACCTTCAGGATCTTTATAACTTTTTTTAGTAAGGAGAGAAAAAAGTAGATGTTAAAGAAGACATGGAGAACAGAAATTCTGCAATGACACAATTGACTTTTTTAAATTAACAAAACATTTGAAAAAAAAGTGAAAATAAATGGATGAAATTCAGAGCAATGCAAGAGAGCAAGTTGGAATTCAATTATTTGGTCGCATTCTAACTGCACGACCAGAAATGAAGCATTTATTTGGTTTACAAAAAATTCCAGAAGGGCGTTTAAAATATGATCCACGTTTTAGACGTCATGCTATTGTTTTTACAAAATCATTCGACTATATTGTTAAAAATGTTGCTTACAAGGAAAAGTTGGAGCAACATTTCCAGGTTAGTATTTTGTTAATACTATTGTATCTTATTCGTTTGCTTATATATTTGCAAAAAAAATCAAGGAATATCGTGTCTATCTTTCAGCTTGACAATAAATGACATAGAATTCTAGGAATTTAAATGAATTTTAAAATGTGTACCTTTTAGGAACATTTGGAATAGAATCAGAATATAGTAACGTAATTTGAATCCGGAATACTGAATATATTTAACGACTATATAAAGTAAACTTTCAAATAGGAATAGGGATAAAGATTAGATAGAGAAGAAAGTGTGAATTTTTGAGAAACAGTATGAAATTTTACACTTCACCAGTATAACGCATAAGATAAAAAAGTGAGAAAATTCATCAAATTATCAATTATCAGTTTCATAAAGAATTACAAATGTTATTTCATTGAAAATTCCTCATTCTAGGCACTTGGTGAAAGGCATACAACACTGCAAGGGCGTGGATTCGATCCAGGATATTGGGATACATTTAATGACTGCATGAGGCAAACCGTCTCACTTTGGGGTAAGGACAAGGATCACAGAACGGCAAACACATGGCACACACTGGTAAGAGAGATGCACCTTTTTTTATTACTTTTACGCAACTCGACTAACTCATGAATTTTCGGAATTAAGAAAATCCTTTTCTACACATCTACCATAGTTTGCAATATAAATTTATTGTGCCTGAAAGTGACCGATCAAACACTGGAATCTATTTGCAGATCTCATTCGTGTTGCAGAACATGAAAATTGGTTTTAATCGTGCTAATAGCCGCCATTCTCGTCGCGTATCACGCACACAACACTATCATCACGCCCACCCAACAGGATCCGGCACACGGCAAGGAGTCGATCCAATCCAATTCTACAAACAATTTTGTCTCCAGCAAAAAAAAAGCAAACGAGGATTACTGCAACTTCCAACAACCTGAACTAATGAATATTCACGTTCTGGATGAGCCGCTCTTACGAAGTTAACTAGTCACTACGAACTTAACCAAACTCTCAAACACTTTTCCACTTTTTTCTATGGTTGACTAATTTGAAATGATTTTAAATAAACAAATGAGGGAATGAAGCAACAATTGAAAATTTATGTACTTAAAGACTGACAAGATCAAATTGAGGAAGAAAACGAACACACGCATAAAAATTGTAGGGCAGATCTTGCAAGGCTGTAGTCCAATAATTCAATGGGATATAACCAAAAAAAAAAAAAAATTATCTAGCATACTACAGAATAAAACCGGGAAGATTATCATCCATCATATCATGCTCTAGCTGATTATCAATGACAAGATTAGTGCCCGTATCACGGGTCCTCACTCCGTCAGAAGCTCTTGGTAACTTTGACTTCTTTCCCTTTTCTTCGAAAAAAATTCACCGGCAAGTCAAAAAAAGAGAAAAAGCAAAGTTGCCTAATAAACTCTTACTCTCTATGTTGATGAAATTTGATGAGCAGCATAGAAAAACTGAGAAACATAAAATTTGAATGAAACAGTATGTCAAAATGAAAACTGAAACTTATGGGAAATAAGATAGAATATGATATAAAAAGGCCTGGAACATAATTTCAAAATATATTGACAACATATATAACAGAGCACACAAAAAAGAACTTGGAAAATGAAAACTTCATATAGTTCTTATAAGTCAAAAACGATGCTGATCATACTTATCACTACTCAGTGTAGAATAATTTTGAGAGAGATGAGAGAGAGAGAGAAAAAAAAAAAAAAAAAAAAACAGCAGCAGCAGAAGTAGAAATGAAAGAAGGCTTAGTAAAAAAGGTACAAAATATACAAAATGTAAGAATTGCAACAAAGTTTTAATGTTTTCTAGAAACGTCAATAAAACATACCGGAAATTTCCAGGAAGTTAATAAAACATTCCAGAAGACAAATGGGACGAAACAAAAGGGATATCAAATAAAGCGTAGCATCAACGAATATAATGGTTAATACGAACTAACAAACAATAAGAAATAATCCATTAGATGGATTATTTCATATCCAAAATACGCCGTTCAAGAGAAGTATCAATGTTTTTGTGTTATAAATTTCAAAATCAATAAAAATTCAGACTTAAAAAGTTAGCGGAAATGTGATTAACCAGCAAAAATTACATTTAATAATAAACAGGCAATGAGAGCTACGTGTATACATGAATATCTAACATTGCAAATATTTTCTTCAATCGAAATTTGCAAAAAAATAAAAAATAAAAAAATACTGCTTTGAAAATCAAAAGGAAATTTTAAAACTGAAGCAGTGAACGATGCAGGCTACCAATATAACAATGCGATGGTAAAAACAATCATTACCAGTTGTAACCCCAATTCCCACGTGCAGCACTCGGATATTGTGGAAATTGTATATTTTCAGTAACGGTTGTCTGTACTTGACCACCAAAGTGAACTGATGACCATGCCGCATTCCTGCAATAAAAAAAACCACTTCTAAGGTGATTAATCCTCTTAATCCAGTTCAAACTATCACAACATCTATTTGAGCTTTGCATGATTAAGTGAATCCAGATGTACAAAATTACATTTGCTCACTTCCAAATAAAGAGTGAGCGATAGAAATTTTAAGCTCGATAATTAAATGACAAGGCTATTAAATCAGCCTTGACCAGAAAGCTTCCTAATGAACGGATGCTTTTGATATTCTTTAAGGATCACAAACAACAACTAACAATCATTAGAGAAAACGGAAATAAACTAACGGTGAAGATTGAGTAACTGATATCCCACCGCGGTGCGACATAGAAGATGGTGGCGGAATTTGAGAATTAAAGAAGGGTGGTGGTGGAACTGATGTATTTGCAATCTGGGAACGTGGTACAGGTATCCGAAAACCAGTCGGCCCAACAGCTGCAGGTGCAGCACTGTAATTAATATTTCCCATTGGCACAACTGGCTGAGGTGGTTGTTGCTGCTGTGAAGGTACCGGTTGGTGCTGTGAACTAACTGTTGGTCGATATGAACTGAGAAGATTTGTCAGATTTTCGTATTCATTACTAGCGGCTTGTGCAGCCTAAATATTAGCTAATTAGGACTGCATGAAATGAAGGTTACATTTTTTTTCACGGACTCGAATCAATTGTTCATATTTGGAATAGATGTAGTGATGAGCGTATTTATAACTGTTACAGCATGAACATCTATGAAAAGAACAGCTAAAATTTTTTTACTTATATTATCTGGATAAAATACTCTGATATGTTGTTCTCCTCAATTACATTTCCAAGAATTAACATAAACTAACTGAACATAGCTTGACATATGTTGATGCTGACGATTCAGATAAACTATCATAAGTTAGTTCACAACTATCTAAAAGAAGTAGAATTTCGTCAAAATGACCTGTTGAAAGTGCATGCGATTCCATGCCTGCGTCGACTGCTGATGACCGAGATTAACGTTTGCTACATCGCTTCCAAAAGAACTCGTAAGATGCCCTGAATTCCCCGAGATTGCATAAGTAGTCGTTGGAAATGGTAGGTGCTCCTGACGAGTAGATGCTAGACGGGCTGCTACCTTAAACTCACCGAATAATAATGAAAATGAATTCTTTTTCCGAAGTAAATGAATTACTGTAACAAATATCAAGGTGTAAAAAGATAAGTGAACCGCAGATTTTTCTCGAACACGAAAACACTTGCTTGATCTATCCAGGAAGAACTATCGATTTCTTGAGCAGATCCTGTGATTGGTGTTGAATCTAATTGGGCATTTCTCCAACGTGTAAATGTATCTGTTGGAAAAGGTCCTGCATTACCCCAATCAACAGGATCACGATTTGAAAAAGGAACATTCAAATCGAAGGGCGGCATATTTTCACCCAAGAAAATACGTCCAGTCGCAGCCTCGTTACCAGTCGTATTAACTGGTCTACTTTCCTGATAATATTTACTATTAAAAATAAATGTTTTTATAGTATCTTAAGTTAACTTATCGAACGTGAAATCGATGCGAAAATTTTGCACAACAAATTATTGGAGCACGACGAACTATTTTTTAAGTTGCTTTTTCTTGTCAAAACATACGGATGTCCGCAAACTGGCGATATTTTTAGCCAAATCGACCATGTGATCAGCTGTTCTACTGGGATCTGGATAATCACCAGCAGGTTTCGTTGAAGTCGGTAGCTGAACATTGATATTTTTCGCAAAATCTTCCAATTGCACTGGTGCTAAAGTCACAGGAACTGCCCAAGGCTTGTCATCAACAATGTTATCATCCCAAATGTTGGCAATCGAAGACGGTATAATACTTTGATGAGTAGAATCCAATGACTGAAAACTTTTCATACATGAATACGAAAAAGGCATTACTTTCTTCAAATGATCCAATGATATTCAAATGGGATGCAAATTGTTTAATTTATTTTATCTGAACTACGGTAACTTAAATTTTCAAAAATTTCTACCGAAAACAGTTTATCGTCGATAGAGCTGGTTTTCAGTGCATCTAAATTCGATTTCGCTGTGCCAAGAAGTGGTTGCAAACTTCCCTCAGCGATATCTAAATTTATTTAGTTTCGAAAAGATCTCAATTAAAAATAACATATGGCTTAGGTATTACTGAATCTTCGCCTTTTTAAGGCAATTTCAGAATAAGACAAACAATATACAGATACAGCACGTTTTTTTAATTTCATTCTGAATTAACGACTAGAAAATCCCATCTCTCTGGATCAAAAATAGCAATGTACTATTGTCTGTAAAAATTTGGTTCAACCCCAAAGCTTAATAGTTACAGAATAAAAATAATAAGAGATTACCTGATGAAGAAGGCAGTGGAGCATTCGCTGGAATATTTTGGAGAAATTCAATTTTTGACCCACTGCAAAAAATTAGAGCATCTCATTTTGTACAATCGAGAAAATATCTACCGACCAAATAAGTTTCAAAAAAACAAACTCAAATCATAAGTAACCGATCATAGAGGGCGCCAAAAGGCGCTGAAAAAAAATCACCCTTTAGACATCTTTTTTGTACAAAAATGAATTTCGCTGATTCTGTAAGAAATAAAACAAAAACTAACGCTTCAAATAACTCCGTTCTAGACTTTGGATCAGTGATTGTAGTAGTTGGAATAGTCGTGCCGGTCGAAGGAGTAACCATAGTGCTACTAGGTCCGACATGAATCGGGGATTTCAAGCCTTTAAGGAAAAATTTAAACCGCAAAGGTCCACTTTGAATTACGAAATCCTGCCCCTCATCTGAACTTCCATACATTAATAAATATGCTTATTTCTATTCACACTGAAATTTCAAGCTCATGATTTCGTTCAACCCCAGCAATTTACAGTTCACATAAACAAACATATTCTTAATCCGTGCCTAATTTCATCTTCTCCCTCTGTTACTTCACGATAAAATAGTCATCCAAATCTCACAACTGAAAAAATTGTTCTGAAGATAATGAAAATTAGCACTATGACGTACCAATTGGTGATACTGAAGGACTTGAAGCAGATGCAGAAGTTGGCCTTGCATGTCCAGGAGCTCGACAAAATTCTTTTACTCCATGTTTTTGCATTCCATCCTAAATATCCAGAACAAACTAACTAAAACACGACCTACTAAAAATAGAAGGAAAAAGCCAATTATTAAAGTTGAACAAGAAAAGTATCCTACGCTTAACTTCTACCTCAGCAGTGTCTATAACTTGCATCTCCGGAGTAGAATATACTGTCCCAGGTGTCTGTGCTGTCTGGTTAGGATTCGAATTCTCCTGTTCTGTAGCACCAGATGACATTTTCTGCTTCTTTTCAGAACCAATTGCGCTCACTACTGTAATATATAACACTCAGGATAATCATGATCGGATTACGTTAAAAACTCTAAAAGAAACAGAGTTGCTAACCTTTCTGACTTTGACGTTGTGCAGCTCGCTGTGCCCATACATTTGTTGTAGCAACAT